TTTAATGTCTTGTATTAATGCATGGCCAAATTCATCTCTCAATCTTCTTACTCATTTTTGTAGTTTTCCAACTTGCTTCTACTGCCTCCTCCAGATTGCTATTGTCCTCTATATTGGAAACACATGACTATATTCTACCAACAATCCAAAGGCAAAAATAAAGCTTTAAGGTTTTGGTCCAACAATACTCACAATTAAATCCTTTGCCTTCGCTGCAGCATGCACAAGGAGGTATGATGCATAGTCCTCAGCATCCTCAAGCAATCTGAAGGGTTTTTCCCCCCACATGACGTAGATGAACAGTTGTCCTGATTACCTCACAGATCAAAGGTTGATCCTGTTCCTAGGGAACTTGCAAATTAACTTATAAGAAATTCCTATATACTAAAACTAGCTAGAGAGCTTCTAGTGCCCAATACAACACTGGCAGATAACAGAGAAAACTGTTATGTGCTCATATATTTAGCTACTCGCCTTCATCCATCAGCTCTTTTCCATCCATCTGTTCGAGCAGTTTGTTGAAGTCACTCATTTGCCTGTGGTCCAAAATTAATTTTCTCTTGCTGCAAGTGAAATTACTAGAAACTTAGTGATTTAAAACAACACTCAGTAGCTCACAAGTCTATAGGTCCAAACAGGTTCAGCTGGGTTCTCTGTCTCACAAAGTTAAAATCAATTTGTCAAACACACTATGCTTTTATTTGAAAGCTCTGGGTTAGAATCTGCTTTAAATTTCATTTAGTTTGATGGGAGAAAAGTCCTCTCACCGTCGTAGGTGTAAGGACCCCAATTCCCTCCATCATTGTCAGTCACAGGCTAATCATCCAGAGGCTCCAGAATCGCATATCATGTGTCCCTCTCTTCAAGCCAACAAGAAAATCTTACTTCCATTCTGATCTGTCCTGTTACAGGACAGAGAAAATTCAGCCTTTAAAGTTTTCATACGGTTCTATTAGGCCACACCATACTATCTTCCTTTCAAATAGCCCAAAGCCAGGGCTGGAGAGATGACTCAGGGTTAAGAGCATTTACTGCTTTTCCAGAGGACCTGCATTCAGTTCCCAGCACCCATCTGAAGACTAACACCTATCCTAAACTCCAGTTTCAGGGGATCTACAATCTGTGCGCAACAGCCATGCACACAGTACATTTATTTACCTACATGCAGGCAAAACACATACACATAAAATAAAATATATTTTAAAAAATAACTCAAAGCCAACTGGTTAGTAACCTTAGTTACATCTGCAGTATCTTTATTTACCTACGTGCAGGCAAAACACATACACATAAAATAAAATATATTTTAAAAAATAACTCAAAGCCAACTGATTAGTAACCTTAGTTACATTTGCAGTATCTCTTTTGTCATGTGACATACAGAGAATAAATGATAGAAAGGCAATCATCATTAGCGTTACTCTTATGTTTACCACAGCCATTTTCTGTTCTCTTCATAGTAAGAAGTTTAAATCTATGTTTTATTACCTTATACTCTTCAATCAAAAAGAAACTGGTATTACCCCATCTTTCATCCTGAATTAAATGTCCTAATCATGCTCATAATAGACTGCAAATTTATTTGTATTATATCTGGATTGCAAAGCATTGAAATATTTTCTCTCAGGCCAACTGTGGCAGCACATGCCTTTAATCCCAACCTTTGGGGAGGCAGAGGCAAGCAGATCTCTGAAAGTTTAAGGTCAGCCTGGTCTATACAGAGAGTTCCTGGCCAGCCAGAGCTACATAGTAATACCTTGTCTCAAAACAACAACACAAAAAAAATTTCTCAGTAAATGACCCAGTCACTTTTGTTAACCTCCACCTTCCTTGATTACAAGAGGAAAAAAAACCTTACTAAAATGTAATTTAATATATTAACCAATACGCAATTTAGCTAAATATTATCTATTATCAAAGAAAAATTACTCTGGGTAGACTTAACACAGGCACAAAAGACTGTCCTAAATATTATCACACAAAAAAGGAGAGAGATCAAACTGAACTACACTGAGATATGAGTAGGAGCTGCTAAGCATTGGGATAAGCTAGTGAAAAACATCGACAGGAAGGACTGGGGGCGTTAGTCAGTCACTGTGATTGGGTCATAGGATTTACTGTTGGGCATTTATCTGAATTAGGTTTGCACTGTCACAAAGACTAGAATATAGGATTTCTCTCTTTCTTGATAATTCTATGTCAAAAGGATGGCGCCAGGGTCCTGTGAACTTTACTGTGACACTGGCAAGAGGCTGGAATAAAGTCATATCTCAGTGAGAATTTTCCATTAAAATTTTTCTTTAAATTTTCTTTTATTTTCTTTCATATTATTCTATGTGTATGAGTGTTTTGCCTGCACACATATAAGTGCACCCATGTGAGCAATGTTCATGGAGGCCAAAGAAGGGTGTTAGAGCCCCTAGAACTGGAGTTATGGATGATTGTGAGCTACCATGTGGGTGCTGGGAACTGAATCCAGGTCCTCTGCAAAAGTAGCCAGCACTCTTACCCACTGAGACATCTCTCCCATCCCGGAAACTTTTCTGATGTAATATTCTAAGACAAGAGGGGTCAGGTATCTGTAGTCAGAAGAAATGTTCTCATCAGTTTTGGATTAATTAATTTTGTATCTTCTTTTCTAGACACTGTTACTCTTCTCTTGTGCCACTGAGTATTGGAAAACCAAAACTCCAGTACTCACTGTGTACCTTTAATCCTTGGGAACCAAGGCATTATATCCAATTAATTTATCTTTCTTCCATTAGTACCTCTGCATATTGCTCACCATGTGTTAGAGCAAAAAGCTGAAGTGTCCTTGTGGATTAGAACTCACTGGCACCATCCCAGACCCATCCGAGATATTCTCAGTCATCTCAAACCCATCTCAGGGTTCACTACTCCACATACTCCAACTCTAATTTATGTATATCCATGTTGAGATTAGCCACCCTTCTTCTTACCTTTCAAACACTGCAAGCCAAGCTTTTCATATGTCTCCCATGAGCAAATGTATTAAAAATTCATGCATGAAATGTAAATTCATCAACCCATGAAACTCAAACAACTCTGTTTGTAGCAGTGATACCTCTCTGGGAAAATATGCCTATAAATGTAACTTGAAGGAGAATGGTATAAATTTAAGGGAAATTTTTAATTCACCAATATAACATTTGCAAAATATTGCCCTTGTCAACAAAATTTCAAGAGATGAAGGCAACATATGTGCTAGTTGCCTGACTATAAAAATGTTTCTTAAGTTTTAACTGACAGATTAAAAACGAATGTCTTCCAGCTAGACTGCAGTTCTGTTTCACAATCTGTACTTTCTTTTTAACTCCCATAAAGACATGAATATTGTTACTTTTACCATCCCCCAAAATGGAATTAATGAACCTATATTCAATTTATATAACAAAATTAAAGCATGTGATCTTTTTGAAAATAATGAACCTATATTTAATTTATCTAACTTATAATTTAAGCATGTGACTTTTTTGAAAATAGTGTTTATCAAATCTGAAATACCTTTAGCTTATTCAAAGTAAAATGAAACTGCTTACTTCTAGATGGATTTTTAAATTCCGTTTAGATATTTTTACTGATTCTTTGAGAATTTCCTAGTGTATGTTGATCATAGTCACTCCCCACTTCCCCATCTCTGCCCTCATCTTAACTTATAACTATATGCTCATATATACATGCACTCAGGCACATGGGGGTGTGGTGGGTGAATGATGACTAAATAAAGTGCCTTCAACATGAAACCCAACTCACCCTGTTATAAAGAAAACACGAGGTACTATTCATCTATTTAGAATCTTTAAATTATAAATATTAACATGCGGGGGTTTTCTTAATGTATAATATTTTAATATTTTGTATTGCTAATATAATGTTTAACTGATGCTAATGTTGGAAATATGATAGTATGCCCATTTGTTTTTATTACTTGTCAAAAGAGAAAAAGTAAAATCTAATCAGTTAAACCTTGGACCTGGAGCCCTGAGCGTGTTTATGTGATGCCTCCAGCCTGTGTGAAAACTGCCCTTACCATCATCCTCACATTGTGGCCATGGTCATTTTCTCATCTCTCCTTCTTGACATAATCTAGTTACCGTTTCCTCCCATGATAAAATAGGAAAAGTACCTTCTGCCCATGTTTACGTTACCGGGTCAAGTAGAGCTCTCTCCTGCTCTCAGTTCCCTAGAGTTTAACAATGTGACTTACTCTTTCAGTAACTATGGCTCAAAATGTTGACTAACACTTTTTTACAGCTCTCCCCTCAGTACGTGATAACAACGTTCAGAAACAATTTGGATTGCAGGGACAACGCTGCGTACCTTGAACATTTTTATTCCTCAGAACTTACAGAGACCATGCATGCTGTGCCACATCACCCCCAACATCCAGCCCTTACATTCAATTTACAGTTTTCCTCCATTTAGGACACACATACATACACACACACACACACACACACACACACACACACACATCACACACAGGCTGCCGCCGCCGCTGCTGCTGCTGCTGCTAAGGGCTAGCCCTATCTTTCTTCATGTCTCCGCCACTATTCTGTTCGTTTTATGGTCGTCTTAAGCCATCAGGAAACATTTGCGAAATTCTGAATATCAACCATCACTCTAAGCTTTCTAAAAAAAATAAGGAATCAGCCTGGGATAACTTCAGCGTCTGGAGCTGACACAGTAACTAGGTCTGTGTGTGTCCTTACACGGATTTCACCAGCCCTGCCTGCCCGCAAGATCACCAGAAGGAACTTAAGGGGGTGGCAGCTGTGCCTGAGGCCATCATGAGCTTGCAAGTCGCCAGGGTGGTTATCACAAACACTCTCCGAGAATCTCAAACCTGGGCTGTAGCTGCGCGCAAGGCAAGCCCGGACTCCTAGGAACCGAACTGCTGTCACCAAGGCAACCGGGCAACAAGCTTTCCCATAGACGCTGGCGGTGCCTCAGAGGGCCAAGCGCAGAGGCTTCTCGGGATGCTTCGTGGAGGCTGTAAGGCCTCCGAAAGGCGAAGACACTTGAGTGACAGCCTGAGTTGGCAACAAGACCAGGCTCTGAGTAGCAGCATCTACCTCCTGCGACAGATCGGCCCCACCGGCTTCCTGCTGAGGGAGGAGGAGCCAGAAAACGCGGATTTCAGAGTAGATATGCCCTCAGCCACCAGTCTCCCCTAGGGACTGGCTGGGCTGCCTCCCTGCACACACATGGGGCTTCACAGAGTAGTCATCCCCAGGAGTACTCCCAAAACTCTAAAAATGTGCAAATTACAAAAAGAAATGAAGTTTCTTCGTTGGTCGTTAGGACCTCGAACTGCATCCAACTCTCATGAGATGATACCTTGAATTTTAGAATTAAAAACAAACGTCAGGAGTTTTCTATGAATATTGGGATGGAACTGTGTGCATTCCCGGATAACCAGTGATCACCACCCCTAAAAATCAAATGAAAACTGTACAGTCTGATAAATATTTGCTCACTAGAAGCACTTTTTCTTATGTAATAGTTGCTAACACAGCTCAGTACAGGGTAGCTTAAATAACACTTTGTAAAGGTCTGGATGAATAAAATTTCCTTTTTATTTTACTGAAAGACGACAGGTATTTTATATGTCTCATTCTTACCTGTGAAAAATTAGCCATTGCACGACTTCCCAGTTGCTTTAGAAAATTTAAATTTTCTAAATTTCGTATTTTGAGTACTGAGCACAGTTTACCACTCTGTTCAAAATATCCTTTTATTTTGCTGCATACACAGTTTATTGAATTTATTAAACCATTTTAGCCAGTATGGTCTTAAATAAAATTAGTCCTCTTTAATAAAATTACAATTCAAATGCAAAAAACAATTCAGAGTGAATGAGCCACCTTACAAAAGGCATTTAACTTTTTTTTTCAAATACAAGTCATTTTTTTTAATTTGTTGATTTTTTTTGTGTATATATCATACAGAACATCCCAAACAATCTTATTCATCAATATGCCCACTTCCCAATTGGCACCCTCCCATAGCCTCCCTCCACCCCCCCACTGGAGCCCATATACTCTGTCATCCTTGTTACTGTCCACTGTGTTGTCAGCGCCCCTAGCCATTACCTGGTGCTTGTCCATCCACTGAATCTAGTCAGCCTAGATCCTAGATCTAGAGATCCTTGTTTTAGGAAGATGAGCTATTCCTCATCTAGCAGCAATCAGTTGTCAATATTCCTTTAGATAAGATTGGGGTCTGCTGTTCATTTTCCCAGTTCTATGCTGGGTTACTATCTGGGAGTCCCTTTGGCCACCCTAGGCAACAACTCAAAGGAAGGTATCTTCTGTCTGGCATTGTTGCTTGTTATGTAGCCTTTAGCTATGCATACAGACTCTTAAGAAATTATATTGACCCCTTTAATCTTTGGTTATACTTTCCTTTTGGATGTTTAAGGCCATACAGTTGGCCCAGATAAACAAATTTATTTTTACTCTTAAGGTCGTTTGAGGCTCTGTTCCTCAGGGGTCACATGGGCTTGGGAGGAGCCCCTGGTTCCTTTCTTTTAAGAAGCAAAGGGAGGAAAGGCATTTAACTTTAATCCTTTAAAAAATTAATAGTTGGGATGGAAAGATGGTTCAGCAGGTAAAGGTGTCTATCACCAAGCCTGCTGATCAGAATTCAGTCCCTGGGACCCACACGGTAACAGAGAACTAACTCCTGCAAGTTGTCCTCTGACATTCACACATGAACTGTGGCATACACATACAAATTAATTTTTAATAAAAAATTAAACAGTTGTAGGGGGAGCACTTTTAAGCTCAGATTTAGTACAGATGATCTTAAAATACATGTTAATTACTATTGCCGGTTGTTAACCAAGCAATTAATAAAGAAGTGAAAATCCTACCTAGAATGTACTATCAGGAGAGCATTATTTCCATTCAGTCACAGATTTGATTTCAAGACACTAAACCACAATACTCTTTGAATCTCTCTTAATTTCTCTTAAGTTATATATCAATGTAGCTTTAACCTAACTCTAGAAATTAACTGGATTAATTTAAGTTGACACTTTTCTTTGAAAGGTTTTACTAGGAAACCCTCATGAATGCAACTGTTCCACATTTCTCAGAAGAGGAGAACTTTGTAAGCATATATGCTGGTAAGTGACTTTTTGCATTGATCTCCCATGAAGAAAAATCTTGTATCTTTTTTCATGATTTGAGTACAGCAAGATTAAGGAAATATGGTATTGGGGAAATGAAACGGCTGTAATTTACCAGTGTGTTTCTTAGTATTCCATTTCACTCTGAAAGCTGAGGAAAGCTTCAATTGCAAAATATTTAATAATATAAAGTAGAAAATCCATTTCTAGGTTCTTATGTGGAAAAAATGGGAACTCTATCAAATACATGGCTAATCTCGAGACATTTTGCTTAATCAACTTCCTGTCTCTTGAAATACACTCAAGAAAATCAACTGTTGTTTTCCATGTGTAGAGACAGGCATGGAAAAGAAGTCACTCTTTCATACTGGCTTATTTTGGAGATTTCAGACATGTTCTCCTTTTCAATGAAGGAATATTCAGCTATGAATATTTTGAGACAGAAATGAGGACACGAATGGAAGGTTACCTCTCAAACCTGAAACTTTTCCAACAGTCTTGCAGTAATCTATATATAGGGTAAATGGAAGACAATTTTGCCATGTAGTTTAGAAATGATTTAATTTTGTTTTGCTTTCCTACCCTTACCAAGATTTGAGTTGCTTCATCTCAGTCTGTTTTTATTGAGCATCTACTAGCATAGGTTATTTGCTCTAGCTGACAGAAAGAGAAAGATATGGCTCTTTCAAACTTATAATGTAGCATTTTAATGATGCTCAAAATGAGCTTTTCCAGTTTTTTTATGGCAGGGCATGGTCATTCTTTTCTGATTTTAATGTGCTGTAATTCATTTTGTGTAGGGTTTAACCATAAACTAAATGGAAATATACTCTAAATATTTAATGTACTGAGGTATGCTTACAGTATTTTTAAAAGAATTTGATATATGACTTTAAACTCACATTTCATTTTAGTTGGTGAAATTTGAAAATATTTTTTGATTGTATATTAAAATGGTAGATGTGGGGAAATTGTTACTTGGTACTCTGTCCTGCAGTTGACCTCATTGGCAAGAAAGTGAAAGAAGTATTATAAATACCTGAGTTGTTTCACTATCCACTGAAGGGTTGTCTTGTGAAATGAATGGATTATCTCTCCCACCAATCTCTTTAGCCCAGATATAATCTGCCTGTCAGTCTTGCAACTGTGTATTTTAAAGCATAGCTACTATCCTAGAAGAAAGTTTATGAACTTTAAGTTTATTCATACTGCTTTCTGCATCTCAAGTCAAATAATGCTCTTTATACATGTCAAAAATATTATTGATGTGTCAAATATAAATGTTATTGTAATGATGATATAAATATGTCAAAAATAAATGTCTTAATTTTTTCTTCTTGTGAATACTAGGGTATTATTGAAAAAATTCAAGCTTCCAAGGAATCATGAATGTAAGTTTTTGATTTTTCTTTAATTTCTTAATTATTAATTTGAAATTAACAAATATAAGAATTATTTAAACAGGCCCATTTCTTCTCTTGGCACCCCAGACCTCTGGAATACCCTCTAGGCCCAGACTCCCCACTGCTTCCTGATCCTTTGCACTCAGACCAACCCAATTCCTCAGTCTAGTCCCCTGGAACCCTCAAAGCCCTCTCCTACCTTGCCTCTGCATACCTGAGACCAGCCCTCATCCCTGGCTGTCCCTCGCCCAACTTGGATTCCTGAGACCAGCCTCCTTCTGTGACTACCTGAGAGTCCTGAATCCTACCTCTCCCTAGAATCCTCCAAAATTGTACTGTGCCTGCTGACTAGAGGGATCCAAACCTGAGGAGGAATGCTGAAAGCATCTGACTGTCATCCGAACTGGGCCTCTGTCAGAACTCCTGAACAGCAGGACTAAAGCCATCTGACCCCTCCAATATAAAATCAAAAGAGAGAACCTGAAGCCTAGACCAACCAGCTTTTCATGCCCAACAAGTAAACCACAAAGGGACATAAAGTTTACAAACAGAAACAGACCTAAACTCAACAAATGAAGGCTTGAGTCTCACACAAGAATCAGAAACTACAAAAGAAATCCACATGTCAAAGTCACAGCAAAGAAATAGTAACATGAAAAACCCTAATAATATACACCCAGCAAATACCAACACTCTTGTAGAGGAGTACTATAAGAACCCCCTAGAGAAAACACAGGACATGGAATTCAAAAGAACAATTACAAACATGATAAAAGAATTCAGTGAATTTAAAGAACACACAAACAAAGAAAACAAAGAACTAAAAGAAGATAGGAATAAACTTCTGAATGAATTCAGAAAAGAGAAATATTGAAGAATACTTAGGCTGAAATGAAGAAAGAAGTGAAACACTCAAGAAGCCAATAAGAAATGACAAGAGAAAGCCTCAGCAATAGGATAAACGAAATGGAAAACAGAATATCAAGACTGGTAGATAAAGTTGAAGAACTAGACCACTCAAGCAAAGATTAGGAAAAAATTAAGAAAAGAAAAGAATGGAATATGCAGGCATTGTGTGACACCATAAAAAGACCTATGAAACTTACACATCATAGGCAGAGAGGAAGGAGAAAAATTTCAGGGCAATGGTATGGACCAGATCTTCAACAGGATTGTAGAAGAAAAATTCCCAAAATTAAAGAAAGACATGCCCATACAAATTCAAGGACCACTCAGAACACCAAATAGACAGGACCAGAAAAAGAAACTCTTCACAGCACATCATAGTAAAAACTCTAAATGTACAAAACAGAGAGAATACTGAAAGCTACAAAAGAAAATAAGTCACATATAAAGGAAAACCCATCAGAATTAGAGCTGACTTTTCAGTGCAAACTATGAAATCCAGAATAGCCTGTACCAAAGGACTCCAAGTTCTAAATGACCAGAGATGCCAACCCAGATTATTTTACAAGCCAAATTGTGTATTATAGTTGAAGGTAAAAGAAAATTCTTCCATGACATAAATAGGCTGAAAGAATTCATGTCAACAAAACCAGCCCTTCAGAGAGTTCTTGAGGCAATACAAAGAGCTGAAGAGAGGAACGACTACACCCAAGGAATAACAGAAAGAAACTTAATGAAGGCAGAACTGTGAAAATGCAGTTACAAGAATGTGAAAAGAAATCAAAACAACAGGAATCAGTACACATCTTTCATTAATAACTTTAAATATCAATGGACTGAACTCCCCAGTCAAAAGACACAGACTAGTTGAATGGATTAAGAAACAAAACCCATCTTTTTGTTGTGTGCAAGAAACCCATCTCACTTTCAAGGACAGACACTCTCTTAAGGTAAAAGGATAGAAAAAATATTCCAAGAAAATGGTACTATGAAAAAAGCAGGAGTTACAATTCTAATACCTGACAAAATAGACTTCAAATTAAAACTAATCAGAAGAGATTAAGAGGGAAACCTTATTCTGATCAAAGGAACAATTGACCAAAAAGATATTACAGTCATAAACATGTATTTACCAAACTCTGATGTGCCCAACTTCATAAAAATAGTACTACAGGACTTTAAGACTCAGATTAATCCCAAATCATTAATAGTAGGGAACTTTAATACCCCATTGTCTCCATTAGACAGGTCAACAGAACAGGGAATTAACAGAGAGACATTTGAATTAAACAATACCATACATCAAATGGACCTAACAGACATCTACCAAATACTCCCCCAAGCACCAAAGAATATACTTTCTATTCAGTGCCCCATGGATCTTTCTCCAAAATCGAGTACATACTGGGGCACAAAACAAGCCTCAACAAATACAAGAAGATGGAAATAATTCCATGCATTCTATCAGACCACAATGCAATAAAGCTTAAAATCAACACCGGAAGAAACACAACCACATGAGCACATGGACATTAAACAACACACTCCTGAATGATGAATGAGTCAAAGAAGAAATTAAGAAAGAAATAAAAGTACTTCTGGAACTAAATGAAAAGGACAGTACAACACAACCAAACCTCTGGGACACATTGAAAGCACTCCTTAAACAGAAGTTTACAGCTCTAAGTGCCTACATTAAAAAATCAGAAAGAACACAAATAAATGACTTAACACTGCAACTCAAGACACTTGAAAAGCAACAACAAATGAAACCCAAACCCAGCAGACAAGAAGAAATAACAAAACTCAAAGCAGAAATTAATGAAACAGAAACAAAGAAAGCAATACAAAGACCCAATGAATCCAAGTGCTGGTTCTTTGAATAGATAAACAAGACTAACAGACCCTCAGTCCAGTTAACAAATAGAGCACCTACAAACCAATAAAACCAGAGATGAAAAGGGAAATATCACAATAGACACCAAAAAGATCCAGAACATTGTAAGGGAATACTTTAAAAACCTATATGCTACTAAAGCATGGGAATCACCAAAACTAAACAAAGAAGAGATCAACAGCTTAAACAGACCCATAACACATAAGGAAACTGAAACAGTAATACAAAATCTTCTGAGTGAAAAAGCCCAGGACCAGATGGATTCACATCAGAATTCTAAGAGACATTTAAAGAAGATCTACATCCAATACTACTTCATTTATTCAAATATATAGAAATGGAGGGAGAACTTCCAAATTCCTTCTATGAAACCAGCATCACTCCAATACCAAAGCCAGGTAAATATACAACCAAAAAGGAAAACCATAGCTCATATCCTTAATGAACATAGATGCAAAAAATTCTCAACAAAATACATGCAAATGGATACAGACACACATCAAAATGATCATCCACCATGATCAAATCAGCTTTATTCTAGAGATGCAGGCATGGTTCAATATACGTAAGTCAGTAAATCATATAAATGGACTCAAAGACAAGAACCACATGGTCATCTCAATAGATGCAGAGAGGCCTTTGACAAAATTCTACATGCATTTATGTTCAAAGTCCTAGAGGGTTTTGGACTGGAGGGAACATAACTCAACATAATTAAAGCCATATACAACAAACCCACAGCCAACATCATTCTAAATGGAGAAAAACTGGAAACATTCCCATTAAAATCAGGAACCAGACAAGGCTGTCCACTATCTCCATTCCTTTTTAACATAGTGCTTCAAACTCTTGCAAGAGCTATAAGAGAAGGAAATTAAAGGAGTAACCATTGGAAAAGAAGAGATCAAATTACCACTTTTTGCTGATGATATATTATATCTAAGAGACACCAAAAATTCCACCAGAAAACTCCTAGAAATTATTTAACACATTCAGTAAAGTGGCAGGTTACAAAATTAATCTATGAAAGTCTGTAGCCTTTCTCTATACCAATAACAAGCCATCAGAGAAAGCCACATGGAAACACTCCCCTTCACAATAGCCTCAAATAAATAAATAAATAAATAATAAACCTGACCAAAGAGATTAAAGACCTCTACAGTGAAAATTTTAAATCTTTAATGAAAGAGATTGAGGAAGACATCAGAAGATGGAAGGACCTCCCATGCTCATGGATTGGAAGAATTAATTAAAATCCCCATGACATTCTTTACGGATTTGGAAAAAACCATCCTAAGATTCATATGGAGGCACAAAAGGCCCAGACAGCCAAAGCAACCCTGAGCACTAAGAGCAATGCTGGGGGGATTACTATACAAGATTTTAAACTATATTACAGAGCTATAGTCATAAAAAAAAAACAACATGGTACTGGCACAAAAATAGACCCACATATCAATCAAAAAAAATTAAAGACCCAAATATGACTACACGCAATTTCAGCCACCTGATATTTGACAAAGGGGCCAGGAATATTCACTGGAGAAAAGACAACATGTTCAGCAAATGGTGCTGGCAAAACTGGATCTCCACCTGTAGAAAAATGAAACTAAACCTCTATCTTTCACCCTCCACAAAAGTCAGTTCCAAATGGATCAAAGACCTCAATGTGAAGTCTCAAACTCTGAAACTGTTAGAAGAGAACATTGGTAATAACCTACAATATATAGGTATAGGAAAGGATTTTCTAAACCTGACATCAATTGCTCAGAAAATAAGATCAAGGATCAACAAATGGGATCCCATTAAACTAAAAAGTTTCTGTACATCAAAAGAAGCACCCAAGGAAGTGAAGAGAAAATTCACAGAGTGGGAGAAAATCTTCACTGTTGACACATCTGACAGAGGTTTAACATCCAGAATATATAAAGAACTCAAAAAACAAAGAATTAAGAAAGCATGTAACCCAATTAAAAGATGGGCTAAGGAGCTGAACAGAGTTCTCAAAGGAAGAAATAAAGAGGGCTAAGAAACATTTTAAAGGGTGTTCAACATCATCAGTAATTAGAGAAAGGCAAATTAAAACTACTTTAAGATTTTTTCTTACCCCAGTCAGATTAGCTAAGATCAAGAGAATAAATGACACCAAATGTTGGAGAGGATGTGGGGAAAGGGGAACACTCAT